AAATGAAGCTAGTTTCCAAGATCTCTTAAACAACTGCCTCCACAGGGGCTACTTCCCGGATGACTGGAAGAACGCAGAACTTGTGCTCTTCCGCAAAGAAGGGAAGGATAAGATCAAAGCAAATGCCTACAGACCGATATGCCTTCTCTCCGCCTGGGGCAAGGTGCTAGACAAACTTATTACCCAACGGCTCACCTACCACCTCGAGCACAACAACCTCCTAAATGCGAACCAATTTGGGTTTAGAAAAGGCAAAAGCACGGTGGATGCGGTCGATCAACTGCAGAATACCATCCTTAGCAACAGACAGAATAGTTTACATACCTGTGTCATCTCGCTGGATGTCGCTTCGGCGTTCAACCAGCTATGGTGGCCAGGTTTGAAGATCAGACTAAAAGAATTAAGATGCCCGCAAAATCTATATCGAATTATCGACAGCTACCTGACGAATAGGCAAGTCACATACACCAGAGACGGAGTTAACATCACTAAGAGCTATCATAAAGGTGCACCGCAAGGGTCAAATATAGGCCCAGTTTTATGGAATATAATGGCAGATACCGCGCTTCAAATAGACTTTGAGGGAACCGCGAGCATACAGGCCTACGCTGATGATTTCATACTCATCATCGCAGGAGGCAACAGTTCAATAATAGAAAGGCATGCAGTCTCGGCTCTGTAAAAACTAACACGCTGGAGCGAGAAATATAAGCTTCAGTTCAGCATAGCTAAAACTCAGATGATCCTAAAGGATCCTAAAGGATCAAAGATTGAATCTAATCCGCTAAGAATCAAATGGAATGGAGTCCCCTTACGACGACAAGACACGATGAAGTACCTAGGTTTTGTACTAGATAAGAAGCTAACATGGGTTCCCCACCTAACAGCAGTACGAGACAATACCAATAAAATCATGAATAGTCTAAACAGAATGATGAGTGCGAAATGGCACCTCAAAGGTAGACTCCTAAAAGATCTCTATCTCCGTGCAGTAGAGCGGATGATACTATATGGAAGCCCAGTCTGGATGACAGGCACGGTCCGAGTCCAAACGAAGCTCGCACAGATCTAAAGAATCGCCCTGCTCAAAATAACTGCGGCATTTACAGCGACATCGACAGTTGCATTGTAATTTTAAGCCTTGGCAGGTGTCCTGCCCTTAGACCTCAAAGCTCTGAAAGAAAAACTTCAGTATAGGCTACTCCATTACAAAGAAGATGCGATACATGATGGCACCACCATAATGCAAAACCAGATTTTAGAAAGATACAGGCAAAATGCCACAGAACATCCAGCGAAAATCCGAAACATAGTATGGCGTAAAGAGCAACCAGATGGCTAAAACTTAGAAATCTTCACGGATGGCTCCGGGATCAACAACCAAATAGGAGCGGCCTTTGTAGCCTACCTCGATGACAGAATTATCCATACAGAGGGCTATAGACTCACAGATGAGGCAGCGGTCTTTCAGGCCGAGTCCTACGCTTTAAGGAAGGCGGCACTATGGGCAGGAAGCCAGCCCTCGAGACACCATCTTAATTTCTTCACGGACAGTATGAGTGCACTCCAGGAACTAAGCAAAAGAGGAAAAGTAGCAGAGCATATAGCCTCCCTAAAGGAAATACTGCATACGCTAAGTCACGAGCATGATGTCCAACTAAATTGGGTCCGTGGCCACACAGGTCTGAGAGGCAACGAGGCCGCCGACTCATACGCAAAAGAAGCAGCTAATAGATCCGAAGTCGACACCTGCATCCCCATATCCATCGACGTTGCAAAACGTTTGATAGATAGATATCTTATTACAATCTGGCAGGAACGCTGGGAAGAGGACGAGAAAGGACGATACACCTTCCAAATCTTCGATAGAGTCAGCCTAAAGAGGCTACGTTCCAATCATTACTTAGCTCAGGCTCTGTCAAACCATGGGAAATTCCCAGCTTACTACCAAAGGTTCTTGAATCGCCAAGCAAGATGCGCCTGCGGCACCCCAGGACATCAAGCGGACGCGTTCCACTACATTTTCGACTGTCAGCTGATGAATGACCTACGAGCAAGACATTTCCCCAGTAACATCAGGAACATCCCATTATCCTCATTGGTCACCGACTTCTATCTGGTTAAAGGTATTACCAAGATCATCACCGAGGTCAACGTAAGATCCAGCATCATCATCGAAGACTAAAGAGTCAGGCCACTAATCCTCATCCACCGCACAGCAGTAGGACGTGACCTACAAGATTTTATGTATATATTCATCTCTATCTAATTGTAATTTATGCATCAACAACAGATACAGTTGACAAAGTCTTTATACTAAATTAATCTAGATGTTGTAACGTAATGTGTTTTGTTTTATGTATATGTATATAATAAAGGACAATATGTCCACACAAGCAGTAACACGCGGCCTAATTGCCTCGATTACTAGCGCAACGATCGGAATGATTTCAAGCCCGGTAGTGCCTTATCTTAATGGCGGAGCCGGTTAGTGTCCCAAACACTAGTTACATGTTAAGGTCACCCCCGGGGGTCGACATAGAGAACTCTGCGAAGCTACTGGCTAGGATCTGTACCTAGGCAGTCTCGGCCACGGGGGTATACAATTTATAAACTTGGTGGTTCTGAAGGCCCTGGGAAAGGTCACTTATTGGCCAGCCGCGGGGTCTGGCACGTCCTAACGTGGCGTGGTTCTAGTAGTATGGGGGGGTAGCGTTCTCGGGTTTGCTGGGTAATGTCCCGCCGCGACGGGCAACCCGAGCGACTGGCAGATAGCAAATCAAACGACCAATGCTGCCTGGCAAAAAGCCAGGTAGTGCGCCCTCTCCTGGAGGGGTAATAGCGGAGGTTGAACCTCTGCGACTTGCTCTAAGGGGAGAGGTATGCTGTAATGTTGTTAAGTCGAACGAGGCAGGGAAGCCCAAAATCGCTAGTTACATGTTGAGTTACCGCTTTTCCTTAATTCTTATTGTGGATGCAAGATGTAGCATAAAAAAGTAAAAATTAAGGTAAATTTTTATTCTTTACAACCAATGAGATTTAAAAATAATACAAAAATCCTGTCATCTCTGATGCTTCAGTGACTTATTGGAACTTTATATTCAATACTGTATATTGTTGCGTGCGTACGGGTTCGTAATAGATTGAATGCACAAGTCTGATGAAAAGTTAATAAAATTTATTCTTATCAGAAGAGATAAAACAAAGTGTTGAAATTTTTCTCCCCATATATTCATATAATATTACAGTACCACACAGTAGTTATATTTTAAACTACTAAAACGTTAAATAGAACACAATTCAAAGTGCAGAGAAAGCTAATCCGATCTCACCGCGAATTCGCTATAGCAAACAGCAACAGTTATCTAAACAACTGAACTGAGATGTTTTTCTCCGGCTTTTATAAGCTTTTTAATCATGCACGAGAATATTCTAGTATTTTCTCGAGCCATCTGGGAAGCAAAAGAGTACAATTACGAGATATCTATTTATTAAATGTTAAATTCGCGTGCTCCTGTATTTTACTTTTTCGGCGTAGCTTTCTCTTAAAACTCGTCGCGCGCTGCATTGCACGGAGAAATAAAACAATTTTAGTACCAATTCTACTAAAAATAACTGAATAAATACATAAACCATAACAATACTCATTGGGTTACAACTCTGAGGTACGACATTAACTAGGTCAAAGTGTGGCTAACTTTCAACACTTACCAATCACACCAATGTCAGGCGTTCATGTTTGTTCTGATCAGCAGCTCTGTGTCTTTAAGCAAGCAGCCGTGGTGGCAACAGCCAGGCTTCTGTTATGATTCATACCGATTATTATTTTACTTCGCAATTTAACTTATGTCATTTGATGGAAAATTTGCGTAAACGTCTGGTCTGAGCGAGTGCGTGACGAAATGACGCATGAAGGAAAGAATCAATGTAAAGTTAACTGTTAGTAAAATTTAAAGAAAAAAGCCACTAATCTTTAAAATATGTGGGACTATTATACGTATTAAATATAAATGTTTCAAGATATTTTATACTTTAATGCTAATTACTTTAAAAAAATTATGAAGTTAATTTTATACATGAATTTATTTTATAATTAAGTTAAATATTAGATTATTGAATAATAATGCATTCTACTTAGGTTTATTTTATTCCTTCAAATTACAAAAGTGACGTTACAAAAGCGGTATTATAAAAGTAAAGTTCGGGTGTCGATAATTGCTTTAGTTTATTCAATTACCATTGGCTTGATAGGTCTTTAATTTTTTTCATAGATTGCCCTTAAAAGTCTTTAAAAGTACTTAATTTCCATGTGCAGAAATGTATAGAAACCTTGGATTAGTTGCACATCTACTTTGTGGTGACAGTGTAGAGTACTGGGAACTAAGTCTGAAAAGTGGCTTTGTAATAGATGTCCAACTTGCCTATATCTGACAGACAATAATCTGTACATTATCTGCAAAGACTGATCAAAATTCAGGAATTTGATATTATCGCTCTTTCCACCCAAACATTAATAATCATTCTTTGTTCCATAGACTGAAACATTTCTTGCTTCTCATAATTACCACATATGATTGACATGAGTGAGCTCTCACTGTACTCTAGAATAAAAAGTATTTCATAATCTTGGTTGAATGGCAAGCCTAATATTCTCAAAATATGTAGATATAATGCCTGACATACTTGTCATGCAAACTTTTCAGATATGATTCGATAAAATGGTTTTAAGTCATCTTTATAAATGGTAATTAATGTACTTTATAAGTTGTTAACCTGTAATTTTCTTTGCAGGCATATGCCAAAAATTATCTTTTATAATTTTTGTATGTTAATGTTTATTTTCCATTAAAATGTCATTTGTTTAATATCGATAAAACAATACATATATAATTTAATAAAAATAATTAAATATTAAATATCTGATGATAAGCACTTTGAATATAACTGTAATTTGTGTCATTTTTAGTACATATAATAAAATTTTCATGATGTTTTACCAGACTCTGATAGCTCTCATAGTGAGCTTGAAGAATTCTTTGATGAACTGGGTGATGGCTCTGCCGATGATGTTGCTGATGCTAGTGCAGGAGGTGACGATTCAGTATTTGAATCAAGCTTGGAAGCAAAAATTGCACTGCACAGGTAATATCTTAAATATGAATTTTGTGCAATTCTTACTGCCCTTCCCTTAGAAAAACAAAATTTGACTTGAACACGGACCTCTCGAATACGCACCTTGTGCTACCGTTATACCACGAAGGCATGCAGAAAGAAGAAAATACCGTAACACATTTTTCAAATACGTAGTTTTTTTTTACTTGAATTTTTCCTGCTTTAAAATTGCATACTCTGAACTTTCATTATCAATTTCATGATTTATAGAAAGTTGTAAGATTCCTATCTTTTGTGTTACAGCTAAAGTTGAAGAACCTTAAGAACTGGTAAGTGAATAATTGCTTTAGTTCAGTAGACGCAGAACAGATATTCAAGAAGGGTTAAATACCCTTTATTATTCCAAATAAAGTTTGACAGACTACTCCTTTCTTGGAGTTTACAATAAAGCCTCCACTTGGGCTTGAACTCAGGAATCCTAAGAAATAAAGCTTAACTAAACCTGAAAAGATATAGCCGAAGCTAACAAGATTCTAACAGAGTTGGCCCCTTAACGCTAACTAACGGCGAAGCTATCAAGGGCCTAAAGTACAGCCGAGCGTGATAATAGCTTAAGAGAGAGAGAGAAAGTAGCCTAAAAGGCGAACGCGCGCTGCTCAGAATATATCTGGCTTTCTAACGAAGTCAGTAGAACTTCAAAGTTAAATACTTCTCCTCATTTACATTTCACCGCGATTCTGAAAACACGTTTTGGCCGAAAGTTGTAAGCTGAAATTCAGAAAGGACAGAATTAACTGTTAGAGAAAATAGGATAAACCTTACAAAGTCACTGTGTATATTTTAACTTCTGTGTTTGTATTGCATGAATAATTTTGTTTTTTCTACTTTATATTTTTAATGAACTTTTATATATTTTTACATATTAAGAGCAATTCACAAATAGGAGAAGGTCATAAATAACTTATGTAATTATTTACTGTATATATTACATACTACTACTATTATTATGTAATATGTATATACATTCATTACATAATAATAATACTTCATTATAAAACTTGGCTAATAATGTGAGTATTCTTTCAATATGAAAATGGTCATTAAGTAAAAGGTAAAACAAATTTTTAGTATATGTTATCTGATTATGTAAGTATACTGTGAAAAGTATCAGGACATGATAATTACTTATTTCAACAGCACTTCTATTTAGACAAATTAGTTTCTCTAGGATTTTGTGTATTCTATATGAGCTTAACTTATAAAATTATGAGGGTACACTTTTAATTTTTAGAAACTATTTATTAAATTTAGAATGTATAATCACAGAGAACTGCAATCCAGCATGTCGATTTCTCAACCCTCTCCAGTTGTTGCAATTACAATTACAATATTAAATGTTACATTTAAAAATTATTAAATATTAAATCTTCCGTTTTTTTTAAAAAGTTCAAAAGTTTTTAACAGTCTAAAATCAGTCCAAATACCTGGGCCGGCTTTTCTAATCAGTCT